TCCATAATAAAATGTAGTTCAGTCAGAAAAAAAGGACCAACCAGAACAAAAGACCTATCCTTGAGAGATAGGACTTGCAAAGGGCTTTCGACTGGGCTTTGCCCCAGATATACTAACCTCTCTCCGAATTCCTCCAGATGACATCATAGGTGTTTATCTGCTGAGTAAGAGATGTGAATTCTCACCCAGCTCCAGAGCACCCGTGTTTCCCCACTGTGTTAGTAATTTTGGTGGCTAGCATGATTGGCCATTTAGATGCCTTTATATCCAGTTAATTTTCAGTGAATACTCTGTGTGATGTGTGTGTGTGTGTGTGTGTGTGTGTGTGTGTGTGTGTGTGTGTGGGTTTGTGTGTATTTGAATCAGGCACCAAGTCTAACTCTTCAGGAAGAGACAATGTGATATGGGGGAAGGAGAAGAGAGAAAGAGAGGGCTTTGAACTCATAATTCATAATTCATAATTCATTGCCTTAGCCTTTTGAAGTGTGTACTACTATGCCTAGCTCACTTTTGTTTGTTTGTTTTGCTGGGGTTTTTTTTTTGTTTTTAAACTTTCATTTGCTCACTGCATATATGTTGCATTTTAAATGAAAATTATGCTGAGTTCCAGTTTTCACACTTTAACTCAGGTATAATGTCCTTACTGAGGCCTCTTCTTCTGGATGTGGTCCCAACAATTCAGCAGACTGCTGCCTTGGCTCTGGGGAGGCTGGCCAATTACAATGACGATTTAGCAGAAGCAGTTGTGAAGGGTGACATTCTTCCCCAGCTTGTCTATTCATTGGCAGAGCAAAATGTAAGGCTTTTTCAAAAACTTGTTTTTTGTTTTCTTAGATTTAAAAAATTGATAGCTTTGGCACAGTTGTAAACTTGAAGGCATTAGAATCACTGAGATGTTAATACAACTTAGATGCCTACATGTACATGAGCATATCTTTATGAAATTTTTGCTTTGAGACTGACATGAGGTTTTTTTCATTACTGTTAATTTAAGAGGACTATGAAAAAAGTTCAGGCAATTAGACACATGCAGCATTTCTCTACACTTCAAAGCTCTAGGATCTACCTCAGGGAAGGGGATAGCACCCTGGGTAAGAACATAGCTGCTTTCAGCAACCTTTACATGCTGGTGAAAGAGTGAGAGACAGCCCTGAGGGACACACTGCATTAAATGGAGTTTGATAAAGCATTTTTTTTTTGAGTAAACAAGCATTCTAACTCTTTTTAAAACACTGTCTGCAGGCTGGAGAGATAGCTCAGTCAATAAACTGTTTGCCCAATTAACACTATTACTGGTGTTCAATCTCCAGAATCCATGTAAAAATGGCAACCACAGTGGCACATGTTTCTCATTTCAGCCGTGGGGATGAAAGGCAAGAACATAAGGACCCCTGGGTTTCACTGGCCAGCCAGACAAGCATCACTGATGAGCTAGGCCAAAGATGAGGGACACTGTCTCAAAGGAGCAAAAAGACTTTCCTAGGGTTGCTTCTGTTCTGCACACACACACACACACACACACACACACACACACACACACCCACACACACACACACACACACCCACACACACACACACACACACCCACACACACACACACACACACACACACACACACTCACACACACTCACAGTACTTTGGTATTATTCTATGTTTCTCTGCCTATTTGTTATCTGTAAGTAGACTTTTAGACTACTATTCCACTTTTAGTTTATCATAATGCAGATATACACCTTCTTTTGACATCCTTAAGACTGGATTCCTACTTACATAACAAAATAAGAACTGAAGAATGGGCAAAAGACTTGAACAGATACTTCCCCAAAGAACATCTCCAAATAATGAACAAACACAAGAGAAACTAGGTAGCATTGGTAAGAGGTACAAGTTAAACGGTATGGTGTGGTATCATGGCACACTTACTAGGATGACCATAATGGTGTGGTGATGTGGAGAAATAAGAACCCTCAGCTAGTGCCTGAAAGGATGCAGAATGATATGATTGCTATGAAAAGAAATTCAGCAGGTATGCCGTGAGTTCAGAGTTTTATGATATGAATAAGCAATTTTTCTAGCTTTGCATCTGAAAGAACTAAATGCAACACTCACAAAAGTCATTTACAAATGTTCAGAGCAGCACGACTCACAGTAGTCTGGAGGGGAAAGCAATGCAAGTCCACCAACAGACAAAGCATGAAAAAAATCATCTATCCCATACAACAACTATTGTTCTGTCATAAAAAGGAATTGAGTACTGATAAATGTCACAACATGGATGATTCTCAAATCATTATTCCAAGTGAAAGATGCCACAAAGACTGCATAGTATAATTTATATGAATATACAGAATATGCAAATCCATTCAGACAGAAGCAGACTCATGGGTATCAAAGGGTGGAGGAAGAAGGAAGAGAGGGAGTGACTGTTTAATTTTAAGGGATTCTTTTTTTGGGGGGGTGGGTTTTGAGACACAGTTTCTCTGTGTAGCCCTGGCTGTCCTGGAACTTGATTTGTAGATCAGGCTGGACTCGAACTCAGAGATTTGCCTGCCTCTGCCTTCTGAGTGCTAGGGTTAAAGGCAGTGGCCACCACTGCCCAGCCCTTTAAAGGATTCTTGGGTGGCAAGAATGTTCTAGAACCAGACAGCAGTGATAACTGCACAATACTAGGAATTCATCACAGCTTAAAAGGGAATTTAATGATGTATTTACTTTACCAGACTAAGACATCTTAACTGTGAAGAAATTTGTTGTATATCATAGGTTTACTTTTTTTTTAGTGCCTTTTAAAGGAATTACAGAAATTTCACTTTTCTGTGGGTGTTCCTGCTTCACATGTGCTGTCCTGCTCTTTTCCTCTGGACCATTTGGACTTTCCTTTGAGAGCAGCTTTTGCCTCCCATGTGTAAAACCTTGATAGTTTCCTAATCTGGACTAATTGTGGACTAGTTGTAAGTAGACGTCTAACACTAGTCAGAGAAGTGAGGAGGTAGCTTCACTACAATAAAGCAAGGATGTGAGGCATTCCCCAGGAGGCCTGTCACTGACTGCACAGTGGCTGCGAACCATGCCCTATCTGCCAGTTAAGAAGCCCTGTGATTTTACTTTTTGTTTTCAATTCTTTTGGTTATAGGAATAAGAGTGTGAAATGTGAACCATGAGTAATGGGCAGGAGAAAGTGATCAGAGAGTGAAAATCCCAGGCACTGGATTATAAATTGGTAACCCTACAGAATACAAAGTCCAACTAGTTTAAGATAATGACAAGAAACGTGCCAACATTATTTTTTATGATTACGGTAAAGTAATCTTTAGACAGCTATTTTAAAGGCCTACCTTAATTTTGAATAAATTAGTAGAGGTTGGGTTTTTGACATAATTTAAGAAACAAAAGGAAATATGTCCCACTAAAACATCAATACTAGCATAGTATATTTTTTATATTAACATGTGTCACTGTTTTAGATATAACATGTTAAAATACACTTGGTGTGTTTTCTTTTATTATTTTTATTATTTATATTTTTAGTCTAAGTGACTAGAAACCTTTCAGAGAAGGTAGTTGGCTGTTCCTTCTTCAGTAGTGTGGTAGTTTGAATGACAAAGGCCATGTTAGGCTCCTATATATGAATGGTTGATTCCCAGGTTGGTGGAATTCTTGGGAAGGATTAGGAGGTGTGGCCTTGCTGTAGGAGGTGTGTCACTGGGGGTGGACTTTGAGGTTTCAAAAACAATGCTAGCCATTTCCAGTTAGTTTTCTCTGGAAACTCCAGTTAGATATAAGCTCTCAGCTACTGCTCCAGAGCCATACCTACCTGCCTGCCAGATGCCATGCTGCTAACCATAGACTGTAACCTTTGAGAAGCGTAAGGCCTTACATGAAATTCTTTCTTCCATAAGTTACCTTGGTCATGGGCATCTTCACAGCAATAGAAAAGTAACCAAGACAGTTTTAATATAAAGAAATAAAAATTGATAATGTCAAGTCAGAGATTAATTGGGTTTTATTAATAAGGATAGTGAGGTCAGTTGGACATGGTGGTGCACACCTTTATTGTCAGCACTCAGGACATAGAGGCAGGCAGATCTCCGTGAGTTCAAGACCATTGTGGGCTATCTGGTATATTCAGGGTCAGCCCAGTGCAAACAGTGAGACCTTTTCTTACAAAAACAAACAAGCAATGGAACCAACAGGGAATAATGAGGTCATTTCTATATTATTTTAGTCACATAACAACTGTGCTGTAGCCAATTGCTACAGCAGATGTAACTTTTTAGCAAATGGAGTGAAATGTGTTAATGCTATGTTTCACTTTCAGTTTTTTATTCCCCAACCAAATAAAATGTATACACTATACATGTGAAATACCATTCATAATCCACACAGTGGCTGGCTTGTTTTTATCTTTAAAAAAAAAAAAGCCTTTCTAGAATAGAAAAATAACATATCCTATTGTTTGCTGTATTATTTTTTTAACCAGGAGAAATTTTAGAAATGTGAATGTATTGCCTTAATGTCTCTGTGATTGCTAGGTATGTCTTGGAGCATAGCTGCTATTTAAGATGATTTACTGAGGTCAGGCAAGTTTACCATGCTTAGAGGCTGAGAGGAAGTAAAAGAGAAGAGGTGGTCAGTCTACAGAGACACTCAACAAGCTAACATTCTAGAGTTCCCATGAGTCAAACAGGACCTTTCAGTATCAAGCAGATATAGAAAATCCCATTATTTTATGAATTTGCAGAAAATACCATATTTATGTTTGATTTCATACAATTTCCAAATGCATGCTTCAAAGCAAAACATTTGTAGCATCATTTAAAACTTACCTCTTTTCCAGGTTAGTTACTGAACAGAAGCAATGGGGGATATCAAAGAATCAGCATGTTTGCAGGCTGTTTGCATTGTTTGTACTCAGAGGCCTTTGTGCTTTACGTTAATGCCATTTTTGTGTTGCTTTCAGGCTGTTTTAGATTCTGAGTTTGTTCTCTTCTCCCTGCAGTGTGTCTACAAGAAAGCAGCTGCCTTTGTGCTCCGAGCAGTTGGTAAACACTCTCCTCAGCTGGCACAGGCCACAGTTGACTGTGGTGCCCTGGACTCTCTTGTGATATGCTTGGAAGATTTTGACCCTGGAGTCAAGGAAGCTGCAGCCTGGGCACTTGCTTATATTGCAAGGCATAATGCAGGTACTGGGGTGTGTTTGAAAATAGGGTGACTCAAGTTTAGATTTATTAGATAAAAACGGGTTTGTTTAGTAGATCAATGGAGTTTTAAAGGTGTTTCTGGACATCATTAAAGGGCAGTCTTGAAGGATGGCCATACTGTTTGGATCACATATTTACAAAACACTTCTACATTTGTGTCCCAACAGAAGGGAAATTTGAAGGAGGTGGGTAGAATGGCAGAGTGGGATTGCCAATGGTACATGCCTGTAATCTCAGCATTCAAGAAACAGAGGCAGGAAGATTCAACCAGTCTGCAGTTACAAAGCAAGACACTGTCTCAAAACCAAACCAAACCAAACCAAACCAAACCAAACCAGGCTAGTTATAACAAAACAAAACAAAACACTAAAAAGTGCAACCAACCAACCAGATAAATTTATTCTTGGTAACTGGTCAGATAATAATGTTTTTGTGAGCTCATTGTCATTTATGACAGGACATTCTAAGCTAATAAAGGAGCCAAATCACATGAATGAATGATGTGAAAAGATGACATAAAGTTGTAGAAAATGCTTTATTCCCTTATGTTAGCAGGAAGGAGGAGGAACATTCTTCTATAAACTGACATCTTGGTGAAGACAACTGGATGGGATGGGGTCTCCTGGGAGAAGGCTGTGCAGACATGATTGATAAATGATACGTGGGGGATGGACTCACTCCATCTCTCTGTAGAAGTTGCTAAAGAACAAATGACAAATGGCATATGAAAACCATCAGCTTTGCTAGGAATCAACAAACTGCATATTGAAACAGGATAGCCAGCTTCTGAGAGGGGAGGAGGAACAGGGCAGCACAGCCACATGTTAGGATCTGAACTCCATCCAGTCTCTCACACTTAGCTGCTGTATGACCTCAGTCACAACTCTGGAACTTCTGATCTTTAGCACCCTCATCTGAACAGAGGGTAGCTAACAGTCATTCCTGAGGTTTGTAATGAGGGTGATGAAATTAGAAGCAAAGATCTCCAATCACTGTTTGGTATGTACCTGGTAAATACAAGGTGTCGATATTGGTGTTAAATAATGGAAAGGACATTATAACACCAATGGTTTTTAGCTAGGTGTGGTGGTGGCATGTGCCCATAGGCCCAGCTACTTGGAGGATGAGGGAATGAAAGTCTGAGGCCACCCTACACTACACAGTAAAGCTTGACTCTTAAAAAACAAAAACAGTAAAGCAAAGCAAAATGACATTTTTGACATTGGAGGAGGGAGTAAATTGTATAAACTAATGGAAGGCAGTTTGTCAACATCAGTGGACGTCAGGGGAGAGCTCAGGCTTACCCCAGACACCTGCTTTGGAAATGGGTCCTGAAGAAAGACTATCACAGAATGAAAAAGCTATATTCGTGGAAATGTTATTATAACATTATTTGTAGTATCAAATGCCTCAGATATTTGACAGAACTTGAGTTGTTAAATTATAGTAATCCATTTAATGAAATCTCATGCAACAAAGTAAAAGGTAATTAGAGTCTTTACATGTTAACGAGTAAAAGTAATTAAATACTAAAAAGGAGAAAGTTGTATATTATGGTTACAATACTGTCAAATGAGCTTTCCTATGGATGTAGATTATAAAATGCACATGGCATTACCAAGCTGGTAGAATTAAAGATGCCTCTTTTTGCGTCTATATTTTCCAGTGTGTATAGAGAAGAGCAGCTGCCGTGTGGCGAGTCATTATTACGAGGCTGGCTTTGTGCCTTGCAGTTCTGATCCATTATCTCATTTTGATTGCAGCTGCCCTTAGGTGTTTTTCTCCCTATCTAATAAGAAAAGTGTGACTTAGAGAAGAGGCCTGGGATGGTGCAAATGGTGGCATCAGAATTGGGGTCTAAATCTGTCTACTCCCAAGAGCATGCTAGCCGCTGCACCATTCAGCTGGGCTGACCACTTCCTGGCAGGATTGGAGGACACCCACAGAAGCAAGCAGGTCCTCTCTCACATTGTAGTTGGTTCTTAAAATGGGGACACCACTAACGACAGAACAGAAAACAGCAGGAAACTAAATCCAAAAAGACATGTTTAGAAAGATCCACATTAAAGTTAATTTCCACTCCACAGTGTGTGGAGTCTGTAAGGTGTTAGCCTGTCATATATGTGTTGAGAGAACTCATGTTTTCAATCAGAAGCCAAAAGCTTCACAATTGGATTTGGTAGCACTGATAAGGCAAAGGACAGGTCCACACTGTGGTGAGTCTGAGTAGTACAGGGAAACTGTGGAACAGCCACACACCTGTGGACATGTGCCAGGGATGTCCTGCCCATCTTCCTTTCTTTGTCCAATCTGAGAAATACTACTGTAGTTCATAAGTAGGATCCAACTTAGGGATCACATTCCACTTTCTTTTCATGTATGATCCCATGTGGAACTCCCACTCTAATATTTCACCATAGTTAGGGGACTAGGGCCCAAGACTCCTCAAAGAAATTACTGTGTCAGTTTCTCAGAAGGAAAGGGAACTACTGTCCAATTCCACAGAAGTCACCAGTCACAGCCAAATCGAAGACAATGGAATGTCTACCCCCAAATAACTGGTTTATTTCCCAATGTCTCCTAAAAGTGGAACTTTGCAAGATCATTTGAAAACATACACTCACTGTCCTCTTCTTACTATCCATGCTAAGGCACTCAGTGGTTTAAAATATTTTAGACCTTAGGTCTAAATGCCAAAGAAGGTATACCTTACTTAAGGGCAAGAGGAGGAGAAGGTTGGAGGTCTGGGGTCAGCCCTTTTTCTTTTAAAAATGGTCTCTTCTTCCATCTTGCTAGTCTTTCCCACTTTGCTAATAGGTCAGTTACTTTTTTTTTTTTTCTTCAAGACAAGGTTTCTCTGCAGCTTTGGAGCCTGTCCTGGAGCTCATTCTGTAAACCAGGCTGGCCTTGAACTCACAGAGGTCTTCTTGTCTCTGCCTCCCAATTTCTGGGATTAAAGGTGTGCACCACCACTGCACAGTCAGGTCAGTTACTTAACAAGTCTGTCACAATTTTCAGGGCCTAGTGTTGCTTTTGTAGATAAAAGTGTCTGACCGGAAGCATAAGGGATGAGGTAGAAAGAGCAGTAGGATTGTAGCCCCTGGGTAGTGGACAGTGGCTGCAGAGAGATGCCACAGGAGCCTTGTCCCCAGCCTCCCAAGCTGAACCCCTCAGTGCCACTGGTGGTGTCATTAAAAGTGCAAACTGAAGAAGGGAAGGCAAGAAACGGCTTTGTATCTTGAGGGAAATCTCTCTATACATGGACTCAAAAATGAGTTTTAGGTGTTGAGAGCTTTAGTTAAAAATCAGGCAATCTTTTGGTAGTCAGCTTTGGTTGAACTTAAATCTAGACAGAGGAGTATATTTGATCAGCTATATTCTACAACTTATGTATGATTCTGTGCCTGGTGGCTCCAGCTGAGGATGCTGCAGTAGCATGGTTAGAGGGTGCCTCTGTCACCAGCAGCTTCTGATGGGATTCTTGGACAACCAATAGCTTCTCAGCCCCTACTCTGTGAGGAGAGAGAGTCCCCAGGATACTGTCTTCTTCAGTTCAAGCTCCTCATGATGTCAGACAACTCTGCCTCTGATTGCCAGGGGCTGGCTTCCACATGTGTGCTATTCTTCTTCAGCTCTGATTTATGTGCAGCTCAGCCATGAGCTGGAGCTTCTGCAGCCCGAGGCCTGGATGTCAGGCCTGGCCACTGTGGACACTACACGAACACTTGCAGCATTACAGCCTGCTTTTTAAATGAGTGGCATGTGGAAGGAATCTTAACTATCTTATGTAGAAGAATGAAATTTTTATAAATATTCATCTCTCTCAATGTGCAAGTATCAGTGGCATACAGAGGGTAGAATGACCTAGGAAGCTATACTCAACTTTAAAACTCTCTTATTTATGATGAAACTACCTAAATCTATTTAAAATTTTCAAACTTTTCTTTTTTTTTCTTTTTCTTTTTCTTTCTTTTTTTTTTGGTTTTTCGAGACAGGGTTTCCCTGTGGCTTTGGAGGCTGGCCTGGAACTAGCGCTTTTAGACCAGGCTGGACTCGAACTCACAGAGATCCGCCTGCCTCTGCCTCTGAGTGCTGGGATTAAAGGCGTGTGCCACTGCCGCTCGGCGAGTAATTGACTTTTAAAAGTGCAAATTTTAATGATCAGTATTGAAGACAAGTGTTAGTGATTTTGCACTAACAGACTAAGAATAGATGAGCATCAGGGGACTAGGAGCCCCCTCTGAAGTGCCTAATGAAGCCACCATAGAGGCCCCTTGAACTGTCCCAGTTACTGGGAAGTGAGGTAGGAGCATCCTATGAGCTGGAGAACAGCCCAAGCAACAGAGTGAATACTCCCATCTCAACAACAAAAGCAAAGCCTGTAGGCTGGCGACTGTAAACAATAATGATGATTCCCATAACATTATTTTTTAATATTTAATCTTGGAGTGCTGTTGTACACACAGAGGAAAATGGATCATAACATTTTATAGCATATGTATTTGATCTTGACACTTATTTTCCCAAATTCTTTTCCAAGGACCCAGGAGTTAGGGAAAGGGGAAAATGGGAAACAAAGTGTTTTGGGGAAGCAGAGGCCAAATGTGTTAAAATATCGTTCTAGTTAGAACCATGTTCTACTTCCTGGGCAGTGACTTTGCCAGTCATTAGTGAGCATACTGGAAAGAAGTACACTGTGATTTTCCTGTATTTTTAAATTCTTGTGGGTTTTTTTTTGGTTGCTGTTGTTAGGAGTGGTGGTGAATGCCTTTAATCCTAGCACTTGGGAGGCAGAGAGGTCTCTGAGTTCAAGGCCAGCCTGGTCTACTGAGTTAAGTTCCAGGGCTACACACAGAAGCCCTGTCTCAAAAAACAAACAAAAAACAAAATGAAACATTTTTTTTTACACTTTCAGTATCAGATATATCTTATTCACTTATCTCCCACTTGAAACAGAAAGTCCGTGATGGATCAGAACTAGA